GAATAACTTCCGCATTCCAACCGTGTTCACAACAGCTGTCGAAAATTGTTTGTTATCGCAAGTCTGATAATGGGTCCAACCGTTATTAAGTTCACAAATCATGACGACGCAACGTTTTATTTCTTGCTCTCTCTCTCTCCCTCTCTCTTTCCCTCTCTCTCTCTCCCTCTCTCTTGCTCCCTCTCTCCCTCTCTCTCTCTCCTCTCCCTCTCTCTCTCTCTCTCTCTCTCTCTCTCTCTCTCCCTCTCTCTCTCTCTTTCTCTCTTTCTCTCTCTCGGTAAATACGTTTTGCCTATAACCCTCTACTTAGACCGCAGAGGCCTATACAGTGAGAGTGACAGTGACCCGTCTCTGAATGACCTAAACGGTATCAATGGGGCCGTAAAACATGATCTACGCGTACTATCATTATTGGATCATCAAGCACAATTATTGATGAGGGAATGAATTAATAAATATCAATACTCGTTACTGAAGCGGTGTTTGTTTCATTCATCTATATTATTACATTACGATTATGTGTGTCACGACGTGGCGGAATCAGGCGTTCGTTAATTTTGGGACGTATGGACATATTGGTACAGTCTTAAAGACTGTTTATATGTCTTTCCAGGGAAACGTAGCTTTTTTGAGAGCATCCGAGCAAAGGAATGAAAGGAAAAACTATAATCGCCGAGGTCTGTCGCAGATCTGGCACTGGATGATGATGATGATATGTCTTTCTTTCTATGAAAAAAAAAAGCCAGCTGTCTGCAATGGAGGTCGAGATACTTGCGATTGAAGGAGGTTGGGTCGCCTAGTTTCAGAGGTAAAATAAAGTAGAAAATGGTCGCCAAATTTGGTGGCTTCCATAGCTTGAGAGTCCTAGGAAACTGCAAATTGTTATTGTTTATTTTTTTCCCTCTAATTCACGTTTTTCTGTAAAATCCACAAAGGAATGTATTTTTTCATTACATAAACGATTCAAATTGCTAAACGGGTGGGGAAATGCCGATTTTTTCGATTTCACTATTTTGACGAGTGTCTGATTTCACCATGATAACTCATATATTACCTGCATTGGGATTCATGTGCAGTACACGGCAACCTTATTATTGTCAGCGTCAACTCGTTCCACTTTTAAGATGTGTAAATGTTAAAAATCTTGTACCGACCCCCCCCCCTCTCCCTTCCCCGTCTTTTACACCATTATCAAAAGGGGTATGAAACAATGCTTCTCTATCATAGAATTACACATTTCTATCTGCACAGTACCTAGTTTTGAGAAATTTGACGTTAAAAAGTTTAGCTTCACAATACGTCAAGCATTTTCAAATGCAAATCTTTGATTGTCTTGATAGCTGCCCAGAATAACCGTACAATTTTGATAGAGCAATAAATATAATATTTGGTTTTTGATCTCATCGTCTTATACGAGGTATAGTAACTCAAAACGGCCAAAAATGGCAGATACAACTTTGTTATTCTGAGGTAGCTACCAAAAATGTCAGTAACTAAGATCTACCTGCTCTATCAAAATCGTAAGATTATTCTGAGTTGTTATCAAGATATTCAAACAAATGTATTCGAAAAAGCTTGTCATGATGTGAAACGCAAAATCTTTGACGTCAATTTTCTCAAAACTTGGTGCTGAGCAGATAAAACTTCTTAATTCTGATGTAGCGACTTGTCATAACCCGCGTGATCCCCACCACCCACCATGACCAAAATTACCAACTCAACTACCAGCGGGCGATATCGCCACGGTTGTCTAGCACCACTGTTCCAGTGTGTAATATTATCACAGTATGACACTTTTTAATCCCCTATCCGTACGCCCTAGGGTCATTTTGTACTCCCCGGGGTTGTACTTTTCACATTTTAGAATACTTCTAGTGCGAAGATCTCCTTGAAACTTTCAGTATTTCTCAAAAAATCAATTTGACAGACTGCTATACAAAGCGTACGGATCGGAATAATGAGTAAATTTCCTCTTTGGAAAGTGGTGGCACAGAGTTCCCCACGTCGTATGAATACGATAGTAAAACATGACGTACGGATAGGGTTAAAAGAGAACTTACAGTTTTCTTTGTAAATAATACATAGGGAAAAAACAAGCAAAAGCAACGCGCTGGATGCAAAAAGGTGTTTGTGCTATTGTTAGACAGTCTGGCATAAAGAACGTCTCGCTTCTACACTTTTGATGTCCGGGGAAAAAACCCAAACAAAACCAGCAACAACAACAACAAAAAACCAATCCTAAAATCAATGGGCGAGCTGCCAGGAACATGGAGAAGTGACTGTAGTGTGCTGAATGGAGCTGTGTAATGTGAAGAGGAGGGGGAGGAAGTTGTTTTGACGCTGAAAAAAGTGAACTCTAGCTGTACTTTCTGTTTTATCAATCAATAATAATTTTTTAAAACCTAACAACTAAGATGCACGCCGTTCTTGGAACTAAATGAGTTTTAAAACATTTGTATGATGGCTTTAGCCCTGTAAAAGTTTTTCATCTTTTATTCTAAACGTATTTCTTTACGTCGCTATCGACGCAAAATGTGTATAGATCTAGTATCTA